GCCATAAAAAGTCACGGACTTTATCTCGCTTCGTACAAACGCGGACGGGGAGTCTCGAGAAAAAAAACGTCAAAGAGACGCTAAAAATCCCCAAGGGTGTAACTACCAACGTACAACTGCAACAATTGGCAAAACGTATGCGCATTCCATATTTTAGAGGTATTTTCATGCGCGGCTCGTTACCGATCGGCGGTATACGTCGAAACGAGAGTGGCATCGTGAACTTGGATAATACTGAAGGACCGGGTACTCACTGGGTAGCGTACGCGAAGAGGGGAGATCGTGCCATATATTTTGACAGTTTTGGCAATCTTCGACCACCGAGAGAATTGGCGCAGTATTTAGAGAACAATGTAATAGAGTACAATCGCACGCCTTATCAGCGATACGATCAGAGCAATTGCGGACAACTGTGTCTGCGTTTTCTACAGTCGGTTGACAATCAATTTAAAGACCGGCGTTACGCTGTTTAATCTCAGTATTCATTCAAACATGTCACTGACATTTACGCTCACCGGCAAGAGCAGCATCCTCGCGGCAAGTTACTTTCCCGCCGTGGATTTGAGCGATGGCGATTATGAGCTCGGTCTGACAGATTTTGAAACCTATCACACAATACCGAATGTAAATTCGTCAAACAATAAATTCTACTATGACGACGACGACAAGGAAATTACCATTCCCGAAGGATCGTACGAACTGCGTGATATAGACATGTATCTGAAACGCGCTCTTTTATGGGACCAATCCAATAATGTCTCGACAAACGAAAATGAACCGCATCCATTGATTATTATTCGGGCTAATAACAATACGATGAAGAGCGAGATCAAGTGCGCTTATCGGATAAATTTCGCAAAACCGAACAACATTTGATCGCTGCTGGAATTTTCAGCGAATCGCGTGCTGGAGTCGCGACAATGGCACGAATCGGATGTTCCGATAAATATCATCAACGTAAACATCATTCGCATAGAGTGTAACGTGACCGCGGGTGCGTACAGCAACGACAAGTACGTGCATACGATACACGAGTTTTTACCGAACGTGCCTCTAGGATATAAGATATCGAAAACGCCGGCACAGATCAATTACTTTCCGATCATCGTACGGAGCATTTCGGACTTGATGATTCGCGTCGTGGATCAGGACGGTCGATTGATTGATTTTCGCGGAGAAGAGATCACCGTTAGACTGCATGTACGAAGACGACAGCGATAACGTGAGATGCTTGTACTGAACGAAGCTGAGCAGGTGCACCAGACGAGAAACAAAATTACAGAGACAATCCGATCGCCAAAGAAGAAACTCACTGCGTCGAACGTTGAATTTTTGAAATCATTGGATTTTGTCGTACGAAATGGCTAATATCTTAAATATTGGAGGCGAACCGATCTTTGACGACAGCGTCGTCAAGATTGAAACACACGTTCAATCCGTACGCCAACACAACGTTTGGACATAACGATGAGATAAGAATACCCATACAACAGCAGGATTTATACACGTTGCCGTGCGAAAGCTTTCTCTACGTTGAAGAAAAATTGACTATAAAGAGAAAAAATGACGAGTCTCAGACAACGTTTGCGAATAATTGCGTGGCGTTCATGTTTGATAAAATTCGATACGAGCTCAATGGTGTGGAGATTGATTGCAACTGAAACGTTGGTATAACCAGTACCATCAAAAACTATGTATCGTTTACAAATGACAAAGCAAAAATTATGCAAAATGCTGGATGGGATATTTTATCCCCGGAGGGATATTTCAACTTTTGCGTACCGCTCAACACATTGTTGGGCTTTTGCGAGGATTATAAACGCGTGGTTGTTAACGCTCGTCACGAATTAATTTTGATACGCACGCGTAGCGATAACAATTGCATTGTAGGAAATCCGGCGACGGAGCCGGAAATTGAATTGTTTAAAGTACAGTGGCGAATGCCTCACGTCACATTAAACGCGATCAATAAGCTATCCATGCTACGGGCCTTAGAAAGCGGGCGATATCTTAGTGTTAGTTTCCGTTCGTGGGATCTGTACGAGTACCCCATGTTGCAGAGCACGACCAACCATTCGTGGGCCGTCAAAACGGCGACTCAACTGGAGAAGCCGCGGTACGTTATCTTTGCGCTGCAGACCGGGCGCAAGATTATCATGTCGCAAGATGTTAGCGTATTCGATGACTGTAATTTGACCAACGTGAAACTTTATCTAAACTCTGAATTTTATCCGTACGATGACATGAATCTGGATTTTGGCAAAAATCGATACGCCGACCTTTTCGATATGTATGCGTGTTTTCGTTGTTGGATCCCTCTATATAATAGTATACCTATGCCCGGGGCATCCATCTTGGGCTACCCGGCATCCGCGAAGGCTCTCTCTTGTAACAGGCGGTTGAGGGTTGGCGCTCAAAGTACAAGTACGAATAAAGAGTATTTGATATTACGCTGAGACCACGTGCTTGCTACCCATCCCGATTACAGGTCTCAACAGTGGCGACAAGGATAGTCGAATTCACGCAATAATTTGATTCGGTAAATCGGTTGGCTGTAAATTTCTTCCGCGCGTAACATAACCTCAAAATGCCGGTCAACCCAACGATTCAAGCCTTGCTGGATGCAATGGCCAAGCAACAAAAAGCAGCCGATCAAAGAATCGAAGCCCTGCTTCAGCAGATTGCAGCGCAACAGCCAGCGGTCCGGCAACCAGCGATGCCAGCCTACTCGCTGCACAAGGACCTTGCTGAACGCATGGAAAAGTTCGCTTACAGCGCTGAGAACAACGCGATGTTCGAGCATTGGTATGCGAGGTATGAAACAATTTTTACGGTAGACGCAGCGATGATGGACGATTAAGCGAAAGTCAGCTTACTAACTGAGAAGCTCTCCACCATAGATTTCGATAGGTTCGCGAACACCATTCTTCCCCGCATCAAGGCTGACATTCCGTTCAACGACGCTGTGACCGCGCTCAAGCGAATCTTCGGCCGTAAAGAATCACACTTTGCTCTCCGATACAAGTGTCTCAAAGTCGCGAAGGAACCGCATAAAGATTATGCCGAATACGCTGCTCGCGTCAATCTCTAGTGCGAGAAATTCAATATTGCAAATTGCTCCGCTGACGACCTCAAGGTGCTCATTTTGGTGCAGGGACTCAACAAGCCAGAAAAATCGCAAACGCTAGAAAAACTGTTGAACAAGATGGAGAGCCAGAAGATGTAACAGGAGGCGGCAGCCGACGACGCGGCCAGAGAACTGATCCCCAAACTTAAGCTGGGGGACGTAGTAAATTTTGCATCGCGTTTGAGCAGCCTGAGATTGGAGAAGTCAATGGTGTTAGATCCAGAAGCTGCAAAGTTGAGCGACGTACTGACAATCCAGCGGAGGCAGCGTACAAAGGGCAACAAGCAGAGTTCGAACAGCAAAGTGGGAGAGAGTACCGAGACGACGGCGCTAGCGGCCCGCAGTGGGGAGGCCGTCAAGGCGCGTTTTCCGTGCTGGAGCTGCGGCGAAATTCATTTTCCGAGCGAATGTTCTTTCCTAACCAAGCAGTGCCCGACATGTAAGCGTACCGGCCACAAGGAGGGCTACTGCGAATCAGCTGGCCGGAAGCCACGTTTCGGACGGCAAAGCAGCAAAGCGGTAAGCACGATGTCCGTGTCGACTCGCAGATTTGTCGAACCCGAGATTGGCAACACTAAGCTAAGGCTGCAACTTGATTCCGGATTTGATTGGACGATCATCTCGTCCGCTAACTGGAGAACTCTCGGATCACCCAAGCTATGCAATTGCGAGGAGCAGGCTTTTAGTGCATCAGGTGACCCACTCAAGATGCTAGGTAAATTCAATGCTCGTTTGAAGTTACACGGCCGCGAGAATTCCGGACCGTGTTATGTCGCAGCATCGAACCTCAACGTACTCGGGAGCGACTAGATGGAAGCGCTCGACCTGTGGAACATACCAGTCGCGAATGTTCCAGCAATTAGTTGACACAATGATGAGCGGTGCAGAAGGTGTATTTTCGCTCATAGACGATTTCATCATTGGAGGAATCGATGAAGAAGACCACCGAAAGAATCTTTTTGAAGCCCTAAAACGCATTCAGGATTACGGTTTTCACCTTAAGTTCGAGAAATGTTCATTCGCGCAAAAGCAGCTCGAATTTGTCGGCAATATCGTCGATGCCGATGGCATACGACCGAACCCTGAACAAATTCAAACACTCAAGCGTATTCCCGAAAGACATTCAGCAACTTCAAGCCTTTCTCGGAGCAGTAACATGGTATGGAAAATTTATTCCGCACCTAAAGGCTCTCAGAGGACCATTAAATGAGCTGCTCCGTGCTGACGTCAAGTTCGAGTGGCAACCAGGTCATCAGGAGGCTTTCGAAAAGATCAAGAACGTCCTCACTTCCGATTCGGCCCTTACACACTACGACTCGTCAAAGAAAATCATCGTGGCAGCGGACGCGTCAAACTATGGTATGGGAGCAATGCTTCTCCATGAAATGCCAGATGGGACTCGTCGACCGGTCATGCATGCCGCATCCTCATTTAGCAAAGCTGAGAGAAACTACCCACAAGTTCAACGGGAAGCTTTGGCTCTGACGTTTGCAGTCCGCAAGTTTCACCGGTATATATATGGTCGCGCAAGTTCGAGCTCTAAACAGACCATCAGCCACTTCTTGCCATCTTCGGATCGAAGGGAGGCATTCCCGTTTTCACCGCTAGCCGCTTGCAGCGGTATGCACTTATTTTGCTCGCCTACGACTTTGAGATCCGCTACGTCAACACCAAGAGCTTCGCATATGCCGACTTTATCTCGCGACTCATCGAGAAACATGAGCGATTGGACGAGGACGTCGTCATTGCTTCAATAATTGCGAACGAGAGTACGAGGAAAGAACAAATTATAAACGACCCGAGGAGGGTGAGCAAAGAGGCGAACGACGGAGCTGTGCAGGAAAATTCTTCCAGTGTTTAAGGCGCCCACGGAATGTATTCTCTAGTTAATGAAGACGCCAGCGCCGGATGCTTTGCCATCGAAACAGCAAGAACCCTTCCGGTCACATTCGAAGCCATGAAGGTCGAAACCAGCGAGAACGACGTGATGAAGCAGTTGCTCTCATACGTCAAGAATGGTTGGCCGCAGCACCCGATGCAAATCCAAGATACGGCCGTCGCTAAATTCTTCCCTAGACGCGACTCGTTGATTGCCATCAAGGGCTGCGTTTTCCTTGGCGATCGCATCGTTGTCCCGGATTGTTACCGACAGATGATTCTCAAGGAACTGCACGCTGGACACCCAGGAGTGGCCCGCATGAAATTGCTCGGCCACAGTAAAGTTTACTGGCCGGGCATTGACAACGACATCGAGAGAGCTGTCAAAAGCTACGAGCAATGCGCCGTTAACTCCAGGACGCCGATAAAGTGCACGCTAAGATCATGGCCGATTCCGAGAGCACCATGGTCGCGCATCCACATCGACTTTGCCGGCCCAGTAAATGGATTCTATTATTTGGTCATCGTCGACGCGCTTACCAATTGGCCCGAAGTTTTCAGAATGACAGCAGCCACGACGACGAAGACATTGGAATGTCTTGAGGAGGTATTCTCGCGACAAGGACTCTGCGACACGCTGGTCTCAAATAATGGGCCACAATTTGTATCGAAAGAATTTGAAAACTTCTGCATGCAGTATGGTATTTACCACATCAAAACGCCGCCGTATTACCCGCAGTCAAACGGCCAAGCCGAGCGTTTTGTCGATTTGTTGAAAACAGGGCTCAAGAAACTCGATGGAAAAGAAAATGCTGACAGAGTCCTTCGAAGGTTCTTGTTTGTGTTACCGCTACACGCCTTCATTTACTCTCGGGCTGAAGTCACCGTTCCAGCTGATGACGGGCCGTGAAATGAAGACAAAACTGGATTTGCTAAAGCCACGTAGCGAATTTTCGGATGAGCAAAACATGAAAATGGAGTTGCAGTTCAACAAACACTATGGCGCCAAGTGGAAGGAGTTTGAGGCCGGTGAAGATGTGTTCGTCAAGATTTTCTCCAACAACAGCTGGAAATGGACTCCAGGATCAATTGTTAGGCGATGTGGAATTGTTGGTTACATCGTCCGTGCTCAGACGCCAATGGGCGATCGCGAGGTCAAGGCGCATGCAAACCAACTGAAGAAGCGTTTTACCTACTTGGATAACGGAAAAAATACGATACTCGGCGACTTTGATTTTCTTGCTACGATGCAGCGAGCAGCTGAACCAGAAATTCACCCAGAACCAGAACAAGAATCAGACGACGATAACCCTGAAGACGCAAGCGAAAACACTCAGGAAGCCGATATTCAAAAGGTCCACACCGGAACACCCGAGAAGCAGAAGTGGGCCCGCGTCGCTCTTCCCGCACAAATAAAGGGGTCCTGCCGGATCGCTACTCCCCATCACATTAACCAGGCCGGGATGAATAATCCCTGTTTAATTAATTTTTGCTTTTTTTTTCTTATTTTGTCTCTTCCAATGTTCAAATGTTCAAGGAATTTTTTTTTTCGGGGGGGGAGAGATGTTGGATCCCTCTATATAATAGTATACCTATGCCCGGGGCATCCATTTTGGGCTACCCGGCATCCGCGAGGTCCCTCTTGTAACAGGCAGTCGAGGGTTGGCGCTCGAAGTACAAGTACGAATAAAGAGTATCTGATATTACGCTGAGACCACGTGCTTGCTACCCATTTCGATTACAGGTATCAACATTTGTAAAGGTTATTACGGATGCGACTACTTCGATACGCTTTGCATGGTTACGTTCCTGACAAAAGGACCTTTTGTTGTCATTGATTGCTCGCGACAAAACAAATCTGTCAAGAGCGCCACCGTGGATGTGCAAATAGAATTTGACTGCAAAGAGAATGTACCGGCAAATACTACCGCCTATTGTCTCATCTTGCATGATCGCGTAATCGAATACTGTCCGTTGTCGAACGTAGTGCGCAAAATCATGTAAATTGCAATATCAGCAGATATTGCAATATAAGAGACATTGATGTACTGCGATAAGATACAGATTGCTCCATCGTTTCGTTATGATCGTACCGACGTTTGTCGATCTGCAAGGATTTACCGTCGGGATGAAAGTCGTGAAAGAGGTGGCGGTTCTGAGAAACGGGACCGTTTTGGCGCATTACATTTTTACACGTCTCATGCCATGGAGTTTCCTCGTAAAATCCGACAAGTCATGCGCTTTCTGGTTGATTGCAAATCACCATGGACTACGATGGGAGGACGGAAACATCCCGTACAGCATGGCGAAACATCTAATTACATCGGCCGGAACTTGGAGAGGGTGACGAGACGTCGACTCTTGTGTATGTCAAGGGATACTAGAAACGAGAATAACTGGTGGATCTGCTTGAGAATAAAGCGAGAAAAAATCTAAAAATTGAGACTTTGGATGCAGATTACAAAGATATCGAATCTTTAAATAATTTAGATGTTACTAATATTGTAAAATGCAGAAAACATGTTAAGAAGTGCGCATTACAAAATGTATTAAAAATATTTAACTGGTGGTCGCGACAAAAATTATAATTTTTTTTTTTAAATAAACTATATATATACATGTTACGACGGCAACGACGATGTCCTCACGGTTTCACCGACCGTAGAGGAGCGCGCTGTCACTTGTTCTTACTACTTGATCTTTTAAAAATCTTTCAAACTTGCGATCAAACCTTCAGAAACCTAGATAGTAGCTCGACCAAACAATTTCTTAAGATATGGGCGCCAGGCGCAATTTCTCGCACCACGATACTCTAAATCTCAGTACGCAAAGTCTCTCAGGCGTGAGTCTAATCGAGGAATCGTAGTTGGAGGCAGAGAGGGAGCGTAACGCAATTAACACATCTGATTAACAGCAAACAGAGAAAAATATATTTAAATAATGCAGATAACATGTGGAAGGAGGTAGGCGTGTTTCACGGCAAACAATCAGAATCCGAGTAAGCGTCCCGTGTCACCCCACGAGCGCGATACTCATTCCGTCGCCGAATTGCACAGCAATTCCCATCAGTTTCGTACATTAATAATTCCCGATATAAACAGTAACAAATTCTACCCTGTCAGTCAAACGCGAGAGGGAGAGGCTCGTCGCGTGCCGACCGGTTCGGACGTGTTTTGTCCGAAAGGAAAATTTTTTGAAGTATTGCGACTGTTACTGTCTGCATTGTGTTTATCATTATCATAATACCGTGTATCGACGCCTTTTAAGGCCTATATACAATCCTTTTTTATATACGCCGCTTGCGGCTCATACGACTATTGGTTCGCCCTGGCCTTTATTTGAGCAGAGCTCGACGGCCATTGTAATAAGAAGAAGAAGAAGTCAAACGCGAGATAACCGAGAACATGTACTTCCGACGAAACGCACGAAATTACGCACTTACAACTAACGTCAATTACTTACAATTACGCGACATGACCGCGAACCATTAATCACGGCGAAACGCAAGAACATTCACTTACTCTTTAATTTCATTACAATTTTCTTTGAATCCCAGCTGTCCATTTCCACAACAATTACCTCCTTTCCTTCCTTACTTGATGTTTGCATTTTTTTTCACCCACTCCTTGACTCTAAACTCCTCCAAAAATGTCTCTGCTGTTTCCCTTATACACCTACTGTCCTCCTTTTGCAATCCTCTAATTACAAATTTGTTTCTTCTTTCCCTCTTATCTCTTATGCTTCTTTCGCTCTTCTTTACTAACTCTGTCACCCTTCCTACAATCTCTTCAATTTTGCCACCCTTTTCATCCACAGCTATGCCTTTCCTTGTTTGTTCCATCTTCCGCAGACTAGCCTCTAACTTATCCATTCTGTCTTCCAACCTTTTTTCTCTTATGGTCCAACCATCCTATAATTTGCTCATTCTCTCTTTCATCCCTTTCATCTCCAACTTCATATCCTTCAACTCAGCATTTATCTCTCTCAAGATTGCCATCATCGAGCCGTCTGCTTCATTCTTCTTCAATACCATCGTTTCTCCGTCCTCTTCTCTCTTCTCTCTTTCGAGTCCGGTTCCAGCCATTCGCTTATCTAAACTTGGAGGCGTTCTTATTGTCTTGTTACCTCTCTTGAAAATGTCATTTGCACTATGTTCTTGTTCCTCTCTTTTCCTCTTAGCCTTCTCTATTTCACAGACCATACCATTTTCGCTTCTCACAAAATCTAGTATGCTGGTCGAACTCGCTCTTTCCCTCATTCTCAGTTCTACCTTTGAAAGCCTTCCTCTTCCTCTTTTCTCTTCTTTTGGTACAGCAAAAGTTTCTTTATCCGTTTTTTCCTTTCCTGACTTATCTAAAATTGTATCTGTACTCACATTCATACCTGTTATCATCTCGCCCTCGTCCATCTCTATGCCTGATCTATCCCGCCAGTGGGCTCGCTCAACGGACGCCACCGCTATACACTCCACGTTGATTGGTTCTTAAAGTAAGAACCAATCGCGCTCGACTATTACTGAGCAGTTTGATTCGCTGAACTTGCCCAATGTCGCCACCTACACTATCCACGCAGCGCAAATTTTGCTCCCTTTTGGAACGCGACCGCAGCTCTTCCTCCTTTTTGCTCCCTAACCTCTCGCTCTTCACTTTACCTTTAACGCACTTTTACTACAATATTAATGGGATTCCAACTTCCTTTATTATCCTATCCTGATTATCTATTATTCTTTCTACATATTTAACTTTTTAACGCCCGCTAAGCTTCTTATTACTATTTAAACTCTCACTCGCTCTCACCGCTCCTCACACATACGTACACACCACACTCGCTCCTCTAACCAAGTCCTCAGATCTGCTCAAATATAATTGAAGATTATGAAGGGATGTAAAATGCTATAAAACCATAAATATATCAATTTAATTCAAAATTGTGTGCCACTTTATTATAAACGTGGACTCCCATACAACTGATATAAGTTGTACTATACACTTTATTTATGTACCGTTCCTTATACCATTGTTTGTCATATTTTAAATCGAGAAACGGATCTCATCGAATGCCATCTATCAGATGATCCAATATTTGCATGTATAACTAATAAAAATTCTTATTAATTAAAGTAAAAAATGTAAAGTTTTTAATAATTCTTATTCAAGTTGGTAATTATTTATGCAAGTCTCCAACTTAGACTTCAACAAAAATTTTTAATGTAAAATCTAGCTATTAAATAATAATTAATCAAATTAAAAAATTTTTCACTTTTGTTTATCCGTCATCTATAAGCTTACAATGTACGAAATAACTTATATTTCTGTGATTGTTTTTTGTATTTTAGACATAAGGCGAATTGATAAAAATGCTTTTATAACAAATAACTAACATTTTTTTATTTATAAAAAATATTTATTTTTTGTAAATTATATTTTTATCATATAATTTAATTTTATATAATTATATTAAAGATATTTAATTGAATATCTCTAATTTGCTATGTATAAATAAATTCATATTTATAATAGTAGTAATATTTATTTTGATTCCGAGGAATTACAAAATGGCGTTTTTTAGGGACGTACCCAACCCTTTACAGCCATCATCTTCCTACCCGACCTGACCATAGCGGCCTTTTACAGTCTACTCCCTTCCTCCTTTCCTCGCCCTTTACCTCCCCTTCCATTTCACCTCATCCTCATTCTATATGATCTCCTTACCGTCCACCCATAATCTCCTGTTTTCTACCCGCGTCCTTCTACCCTTTGCTCTCTCTTCTCTTGCCTTCTCCAGCAGCTTTCACCTCGTCTTCCTCTCCTCCAGGGACAGATCCTCATCCACCCCTATACCCTACACCCGTCTAATTACCCTATAACTATCTAGCAGCTCTTCTCTCTCCTTCTCATTTTCCAACTCCAC